ATGGTTCGGAAAAAGAATAAAAAAAAGCTCTGAAAAAAAGGAAAACTTTAAGACCAGGAGTGGAGAAACTGTGAGCCATTAATCTTGGCAGCCAACAACTGATGTAAACCCATAAATTACTTTCCTCTTTCCCCTTTCACTCTATCACTACCCTGCTCTTTTTAAAGTTACCCCCTCTCTTTATCTCCACCCTCAATAGCGAGATTGAATGTGCGTGGATAAAAGCGTGTATATATATACAACAGAGATATATATATTTATCCAAATACATACAGATATATATATATAAACATTATACATAGAATATAAATATATACACATCCAGAGCATATTTAAATGTGAATTTTGTTCGTTTAACGAAACTAATATACATCCCGAGTGGGTATTCAAAACGTTTGTTCGAAATATAAATTGATAAATTAAAAATATAATTTAATTACATACACTTAGATGAGGTTAGAACTTAATGAAAAAAATGTCAAATCCTAAACTGAAATATTCCATTGCAATAAAGAAAATTTAATTTCCTATCATCGTGTACCTATATAATATATGTGTACAAAAATACATTGAAATACAAGACGATGGTCAACGTTTGCGATATAATATTATACTGTACAAAAATAATATGATGCAGATATTCGTAAGATTTTAACCAAAAATAATACTTTAGTGAATGTGTATCATATAGACATATACACTAATTGTCTATATATACGCACGTATACGGACACATTAGTATGCGCAAACACGCTTTTAACCAATTAGCAATGATGTCGGAAATTATCTGTTTTTGATCACAACTCCACCGCTGGTCACACGTATTACATCGATAAACCGTAATTTATCATTAGATCAAATTTGCATAACACGGCTAGTTAGTTATAAAATTAAGCATTGGAACCATAATCGATGTAACCCGTAATATTTTATGACACATAAAAAAACTGAATTACCAATCACCACACACGTATATTATTATATTAAATACTACACACACGTAATGAATTTATACGAAATACGTTATGAATGTGTTTGATGATGATAATAATAATAAATTACTGTTGTTATTTATTATTATGGTATATCATTAATATTATTTTATAATCGTTAACATAATTATATGTGGTAAATATTATACGCGTGAATAATATATTTACTTTTTTATATTGTTTGAAAGAAGAAATCAATAGAAAGCAGTAAGTACAAATTTTATTAAATTAGTCATCATTATATGTACACGAATTATGATTATTTTATTCGTTTATTTATTTTATGTTGTCTGGTAAATCTTTACTCATAAAAGATAATAAGTCCCCCAGCAAAACATGCTCGTAAAAGAGTAGGTGTATAAATGGGATATGCAAATAAAACATAATAAATTTCATGAACAGTGGTTAAAAAAGCGATTGAAAATAAAATATAAACGAAGAAACTAAACAAAATGTGTTTGGAGAATATTAAAAAAAAATAAATGTTTCAATAACAAATTATTGTTTAATGCGAATGCGTAATTAAAAAAACACGCGAGAAGTTTTTCGATCGTCACATTTTATTCATACAATACAACATACTATTTAATCGCACACACACATACTTATACATAATTCTATATATTGTACTTCTTTAATGTGTAATGTCAATAATGAACGAAACATACAGTTTCAATAGATTTAATTGCCACTAAAGGACCACCTACCATTAATAAATTATGTTTACATATTATACCGTCTCACATCTCGCTCGGATCTAGCTAACGCAATTGATACGGAGAGACGTGAATTAGAGTAATGACAATAATATCCGTCTGGGGGGTCCAATTTCATTTAATTTATAAAAATGAAAGACGCTAACAATGGATGATGGACAAACGCACTTGTACACGCGTTAAAACAATGTAACGATGATACACGTATGCACTACGACTGACATGTATTTAATTCTCGTAATTAAACGGCCCTAAGCGTAATATTGGGATGCACCTATCAGCGTTTATAATATGATAGTCACTACTCGCCAAAGATGCAGCTCACATAAGAATGAAAAAAAAAAATTGCGTTTGTTTTACGTCACAAATCGTTTATTGTACCTACTAAATATTATTTATTATATTATATGCTAGACGTTTTGTACAAAATCCGAAATGTAATTTTACACACGTTCGTATAATATAACGCACAAATACATTGTGAACCATGTAGGTACCTAATAACGAAACATTAAATCGTAATAAATAATGAACTCAATAGGTGCCTGCATAATAAAATAAAGTCTAGGTGCAAATAATAATGGTAACAACGATCTTAAAAACCGTAGGAAAAAGTTCTAGTATCGCCAGAGAGCAAAAAAAAAAAAAAAACACACTAAGAACAAGAAGTCGAAGAATAAAAAAAAATTCAGAATTTTTGTTTCGTTATAACTGTTGATGTTCAATATAGACCACTTAACTCTGTCGGTTATTCAATCAGTCTCCGATACTTTCAGACACTGCAGCACGCCGCTCAGCGTGAAGGAGGAGAACTCATTAGACAAGTCCAGACGATTCTATTAACCGCGTTCATTCATGTCGTTCCCATCAAAATATATGTTGTCGACGTGTTTTTCGACATGTCCACCATATATATATGTATATATATATATATATATACAAACCAGCCAACGTTAGTACCGAAATGTAATTCATATTATTATTTATTTTACACGCGGCGCGCGCGTTCGTCGACGAACGCGACATGAAGCGGTTTTACTAGACATAAAAGCGACTACAAACAAAAGTAATGGCGGTAAATCGTATATACAAATAATAACTACATATGTATATGTATATATATATATATGTATATTTATATATATATATTTCTAAGTGAGGTGGAATGGTGGTGATGTTGGAAAGAGAGATATGGTGAGAGAAAGAGAGGTATGTTGGTTGCCGGGACAACGAGGAATTTTAATTATTACGATCAGGCTTAAGGGGGCAAGCATCGCTGGTGCGTCCCATACCCAGTGTTACCAACGGCAACGGGGAATGGTGCCGACCGGTACGGGAAAAAAAGGGGTGGGTACATACATATACGAGTATATATGAGGAAAGAAGGATAAAAATATAACTAATTCCAAATGTCCATTTGAACCCCACAACCATATCCTCGATCGCTAGTTCTCTATCTCTTTCTATATACCGTTCTCGCCATATACATACGTTAGTATATGCATTTATGTGTGTATGCATAAATATACAAAAGTGTATACATAACATCCGCGCATAAATTAAACATAGTTTTTTTTAATTGTGTATAAAGAGTGAAAGAAAACACAGTCGAGTATCAAAATTGTAAAAATTTAATGTATCATATAAAAATTAACTTTTTAGTTTCATATACTAAATTGTAATTCAACGAAATATAATAAAAAAACAACGAATTCAACACAGCAACGGTCTAATAAAATATGGTTATCCATTACGCGTGAATTCGATAAAATTACATTTATATATTTACTTAAATTACAAGAGATTATTTTAACAAAAGTAATACATTAAAATTAATTCAATATTTTTGTGTTTTCAAGAAATCTGTTTAATTCTAAGTAAGTCTATTTTAAATAGAAAAATAACGCGTAAACTTTTATAAATTGATAACAAAAAATATTAAATGTGAATACTATGAAAAACCGCAAACCTAAAAGTGTATATTTCTGTAATGTTAAAAATGTAAGCTAATCTTGAACAACAAAAAGTTTTATACTAAAATAAGAATAAGTATAATATTATTGTTACGTAATTGCCACGGAAATCTCGGTTTTTAGTTTCACGTTGATTCTCTTTCCTTTTCTCTCGTTGATCTCACTCCATCGTTAATAATTATCATTTACCAACCGAAATGGAAGAAATATAAAAAAGCATAAAGGTTTAATAATTTCCCTTGAGTTGGTATAAAATGAAATTTAATACCAAGAGAAAAGCTCGACAGAGTTTTTGCTCCACCCCTCAGAACAAGATGAAGGACGTGAATACATTCCAAGCACCTGGTACTCCACGAAAGCGTCATAGCAGCGGTGGCGGCGGTGGTGGCAATAGGAACGGCTAATTGTTATGCAAAATTTAATTTTAAACGAAAATTTACCTTTTGCACAGTAGGGCCCTTTAATTACCCCTTTTTACGACAAGTATACCGAACGCGGCTGGAGCTACAGTGCACGAAGGAGGGTAGGTACGTCACTGCCACCAGTTATACACAACTCGGGCGTTTTTAATTAGGTCTTGGTACCGACTTGTTTTACTGGAGGAAACTTTCTGCGACAAACATCCGTATCCAAATGGATAAATTACACTGATAGTTTATTCTCCCTTAGAGAACAAAATTAAATTTCAGAAATTCTCTCGCATACCATAATAAAACAAAGAATTCCAAACAACGACAATTCTACTGAAACAACACGTGTCCTATAGAACTTAATACTGGAATTTTAACAACACAGTGAATGTTCCTTGCGTTTAAAATCAGCATTTTATAATACAATGACAGTTTTAAACGTACATACATTTAAATCGGATGCAAGACAATAGACATTATACTGTTACATTAAATATTTATACACCACATAATATCGTATACGTAATATACGTTCTTACGCATTAGTTTGTACATTTGCCAATTAAAGGTTATTAACTGACATAATTTCGAAAACGTGCGTTGAAAATAGTTATTATTTTGTAGGTAATAATAATACAGTTTATTTGTTTCAAAATATTATACGTTATAAATCACTGTGATGAAAACAAAACCAAACCCATGGAAAATGTTTACTTGCATACAAGTTCTAAGTACGATACAGTTATGTAAATTCGTATAATAAACAATAATCATTAAAATAAGTAGACAATAGATAACCAAGTATTTTTAGTAAATAATGTAGTACTTTTAAAATATTTTTCTTGAAACGCATACAAGAAAATTGTGGGATAATATAATAAGTTTAACGATTGAAATAAATTAGCTTACCGTTAGATGCTGAAATAACCACGCTCGAAGTATATTTGTAGCCACTTTTGGGAATATACCTCTTTTCTTTTGGTTCTTTTTTCCACCACTGGGATCATCGTCATCTTCTCCCGTACCATCACCACTACCGACACTGGCATTACTCGCATCACCTATATGTATAAAACAAAACATAACATAACATAACAATTCATTTTATTTTAATAACTATTAAATACGTAATTGATCTATGTTAAAAATGCAATTTTTTTAACTAACTGGGTACACCGATTTTTTTTTTTTACTATAAAATAATATTTTTTATGTCATAAAAGACATACTTAAAATTCGTATATTTAAAAAAAATGCCAAAAGAACTATATTTGTTGACTTTTTTTTTTTTAATTAAAAAAAATGAAAAGAGCCTACGGTTATAAATTCGTCTGTCTGCGTGTGCAATTGGTAATTTTACGGAAGTTAGGGGTCGTAGAGCTTGTAGCCGCCGTCGTTCTCCCACGCCGGCGGCACTGGTGGTGGGTAAATGTGCACCGTCGCTATCAGATTCACTACAGAAGGTGATCAATCACTGCTACCACCCCCTCAATCCCTCTGCATTGCTCTTTCTACTCACTTTACCGACCAGAATACATACACACACTCACACACCGTAAAATATATACAATATACATATATACGTACACTTATACACACACGAGCACAATCAAAACAATATCTCTGCCCATACACTATTCTCCCTTATCGCACTTATCGCATATACATATATATATATATATATACCTTTTACCGTTGCACACACGACATGGTGACGGCGGATAACACTATATACACGACCGATAAGGGACCTCTACCACCCCCACCACTACGTGCATACTCAGCTAGATGCTGCAGCGCATTTCCAAGAGACCGTTTTATTCTAATACCATTTTTCAACAAAAAGCCGAATATTTCTCAGTTGGAACGTTATATATTCTTACAGTAACGAATACAATCCACCATCGGTTTGAACAACGATGACGACGAGAATTACAATATTTTATTGCACGACGATAATAATTTTATTTAAATTCACCAATAACATATATGATATTATACATGTTCGTAAATATGTATATAAAAAAATAAAATCAACAATAACAGAATGCACATTCAGTGCGTTGTTTTAATGTTGACTGTAGATAAAACAGCCACGCTGCACACTACGCCAGATAAGAAATAGTTGGTGGTTGGGGACATAAACATATTATACGGCTGCATATTATATAACATTGAGTGTGTAATGACTCATACACACTAAATAAACAACAGTAGTGGTAGTATAGTGGTGGTGAGGAGTAAAAACTGTTTATCTAATGGGTTTAGGTGTTTGTTTGTATTTGATTGGATTACAATATTATATCCGAGGGACTGACCCCCTAAACACATTAGGAAGGAAGGGTTATCTCTCTCGACCGCGCGTCGTTGTGGCGGACCCGTCGTCCCGTATCATTGTCAGAGTTCAACTTTTGAATTCGTAATTTATTATAAGTTAAGCTGCAGCACTATGCGTGTCCCCTTCCTAATGTGTTTTTGTTGCACGTCAATTAAACATGGGATTTTGGTCATTACGATTTATTTTTATTTTTAAACATTACATTTTTGAATTTCAACTTAAAATTACCTATATACTTTGATAAAATTAAAATTCTAATAAAACAAATTTTTTTTAAATTACTACCTACCATTATACACATTTATAAACAATAATCCATATCGGTACTTTTGTTAGTCACTTTTAATTGTTCTGAATTGAATACGTTAATAATCATTCATTAAATAACGATTAACTCATCTGATATCAAAAGAATTAATAAACAATCAAACATGAATATTTTTTTTTACTAATACCTAACTATACATGCTGATGTTTTATGTTATGGTGATTGGTCAAAGAAAATGGGTGGTGGCATATTAAACGGATAAGAGAAAACGAGTTTATGGACAACGACTTTGAACAAGGCAGCCATTAAAACCAAAAAAGAAAATAACAAGTAATGAAATCAAACTCACTGCACAACTTGGGATTACATACATGCAAACATATAAAATATTAATATAAGTATTATATCACGACCTTTATGAGATTGATGGACTATAATGAGTTTAACTTGTAAATATAGATAAATAAAGACTGCAACCAATGACTAATGGATAAGAAAAAGTTGGATGTAATTTAAAATATTATAAGCTAGTTATACTCCCACTGAATTTGTAAATACATTGTTTAACAATAACGATTATAAGTTATGTAGATATTTTACTATACAAACGGTATAATATAATATTATAATATTATGTAATATCTGAAATAATAATGTTAATAATAATAATAATAATATTCTTAATCGTAGTTTAAGAGAATTTACTAAAGGGTTTAGCATCACATAACATAAGAAAAAAATCTCAACCCCTCAGGTTCATACAAAAAAAAAAAAAAATAAATAAAAATAATAGCGTTAAAAATTACTCGAAAGTCTTATAAACGGAATATTATTGTAATACATCAACGTTAATGTCGAAAGAGAATTAACCACAAAAATATGATGATAATGATGATGATGGTGGCGGTGCCTTCGAGATGAAACAAGTTAAAAAAACAACAACGAAAATAACAGAATGAGAGAGAGAGAAAGAATCTGGCCACCAACACTATAATATGGTTAAGGTCAAAAAATGCCTGCAGACCGACAACGACCCCGACTATAATGGAATATATTATAAACGTGCGACTAAAGAGTTTAATAATTTAATGTAAACCATCTATGGCTATAATAAAAATTAAAGAATGTATTATACATAGGTACGCTACGTCATATATGGATATAAAATAAATCGATATATTTTAATAATAGAATTGAAGCCAATTGTGTAATATTTTTAGAAAAAATATATTTTTAACTTGATTCTTTGCGATTGTTGTTTAAATTTATATCAAATAATAGTTACTTAAAAAAAAAATCGTAAATGTGCGTTACTTCTATTTAGAAAATTAAATAAAATGTATGATAATCGACTACAAATGCACATTATAGGAATATGATGAATAATTTTACTATTAAGCTTGTTTAGACGAGAACAAAAATATCAATCGTTTAAAATATAAGACAGTTTTATTCTTTTTTTGCTCTGCAGATTATAGAACGAGGAAACGTATGATTTATAATGAAATTTTTTCTTTGGAAAATTCTTTATATTAGATAATAAAAATGGCTCAAATGCATAATATAGGGTATAACATGCTTTCTATTTTAAATAATACTCTATATCAGAATATTGAACAATACTCATTACCTACTTTTTACGAATGAAAAAAAATAAGTGCATACGATAAGTAAAATGGTTAATTTGTCATATTTTTTATTCTAGTTTTAAAAAAAATACAATAAAAAAAATTGTAATTAAAATGTTTACCCTCGTATTAATGTATTATAGTATAAGTATAACCTATGCATATAAATAAGTAATTGTTGCAAAATACTATTATTTATAAATTATTAATAAAATAAACCAACAAAAATAACCACATTACAAATAAAATTATATAAGTTTTCAAATTAAATATGATAATTGATAACAAATCTATTCTATTCTATATAATATAGGCCAACCCAAAACATTGGCCTAACCCTACAGCTCTAACCGTGTGAAAAAAATGTCCCTTTTTCGAAAATAAATTTAATATAAGCCCTAACTGAGCTAGCAGTGTTTATTATATATTTTTTCTACAACTTAAGATAACTATGATATTATTTGATATAGTATTATAGTTAACGCAAACCGAAACGAGAATAAGGGGGTGACCAGCGTTCGTTCATTTCCTGGCTGTCACCAACACACCTCCGTTTTACCAGTGGTCCGGTGCGCGTACTACACCTCCATTCCGCATACACAATCACCCTATTCCTACCCTTATTGAATGGTATTATATATATATATATATATATATATATTTATACGTATACTATAATTGAGACCTCCTCACTTTATGGGCTGTTTTTGATATCATCGTCGTCGTTGCCGTTGTCAGCCTGAAAACGGTACGCGCACACCAACCCACGTAGTAGCTGTCACATGCAGCAAGTATAAAGAGAAAATAAGTACAAACGAAAAAAAAGTTCCATCAGTTGCGGTTACAAGTACCGCTAATCGTATTTTCACTTCTTTCTAGCCCTTTACACATATATACATATATATATATATATACCTCAATAGCTAGATATTTTTATGTACATTTATATAATTTGTAATATACTAGTATATTGGACAATAGTTATTTTTGTTTTTTCGACGATGTAGAAACAACAGAATCTACATTCATGCATTCAAAATATTTATAATTACTATCAATATTGCAATGGTATGACGTTAAACTCGTTATTATAATTGATAAATGGATATATTTCAAATAACTAAACATTACATAACAAACCGTAAGAAACCGTAAGAAATAAAATTATATTTTTTTTTAAAAATCAACATATTCTTGGTTCCAATAACGATCAGAATTTTCATTGAATTTTCAAACTTTATATTACTACATTATACCTAATGGTATTTTTTTTTAAATGAGTGTTTCATGTTTCTCTAAGTTCATGTTCAAAGTTTCTACTTATATGTTGATTGGTCAATCAATCTCTTTCGGGATATATGAAGCAACAACAGTAATTGGCTCCTTCGAGACCAGCTGGACCCCACTACCACAAATAGTTATCCCTTAGGGGGTTTATTATCATCGTTATACTGTGTATCTCTTATAGCCACCATCACCATAACCATATTTACACCATTATTAAGATCTCTTATCCAGTTTTAAATAAAAAATAATAATGTAACCCACACGTATTTTAAATAAACTTATGAATATTTTAGGTAGGTACCTATTTATTTATTTATGTACCTATAAAACATAAATAATTTATAAAATACTACTTAACAAGTTTTGAAAATTAAAAATATAAATTAAAATACAAGAAATCTATTCCATAGTTACTATTTTTACAAATCTTAAAATAAAAATAACAAAAGTAATGTAACTCCATTGTGTTCAATATAATTATGTTAAACAATAAGCATTATAAAACGCATAAATACATGATGTACATGGGCTTGAGTATACATTTAATTAACGTTTATATTATTACAATTCATTGTATAGAAATATATTTTTAATAGGTTTCACATTTCATTGCAGATAAAATGTCATCAAAAAATATTTTAATTGATATCTCGCGTGTATCTACACGCACCACGGTTAGCAAATATTTTCAACAAAATGTATGCGGAGTAAAAAGGGCAAGACGCACATTATATTATCGTCGCCGACAACCAAATATATATATATACGTGAGGGAGAGATGGATGGCTGCCTGGTTGACTGCATCGCGGCGCACGGCGCTCGCGCGGTTCAAGTTTTCCATGGCAACGACTACGAACATTGGCAAACCGGGAAATGTTTCCACACTCATACCCGCTCTCGCTCTTTACTCAACCGCCCTTTCCTTCTCTACTTTACATCCTCTATTACCCCTGATACTCTTTGACAGGGGTTTTCCATTTTTTCTTTTTTTATTTAATAAAGGGCACAACAAACCTAAACGTACACGTCAAATGCTCATTTTAGTGGCAATCCTATTGACGGTCAGTAAATACCTTAACTCACAGCCATTTATAAATATAAAAATCCTATCGTTAATAGAGAAAAACGAGGGGCACAATTTTGGTGACTTTGAATAAATTAACCTATTTATATAATTCTGTCATAGGTATATGAAAAACGATTATTAAATTTACCATAAATGTAAATAATTTATATTTAATATGTACTTACACGAGTTGTAATCATTTGGGCTACCGCCAAGGAACACAGATTGATACAGAAGACCACGTTTCGCTGCTTCCGCAGCCGATGCCGCTCGGGCGTCTAGAGGTGGAGGCCAATCTCGCCTTTGACACCATTTACCTAGAAAAATATACACAATAAGATCACGTTAACATTAATATCAGAAAAAGATGTTACGATATTATTACACAAGCAATATTGTATAATATATAAAATAACTTAAAATATATATAAATAGGTACATCAAATATGCCGAATAATAATGTTGAATTAATAGATATTATTAACATGATCATTTAAAAAAAATATACTAAATTTATAATAATAATACAAAATATCACTTAATCTGACTGAATAATATTTTTAATATTCTTTATATGTGTATAACATACATTCGTATAAGTATTTATAAGTATATAGATGTGCCTGTGCCTGTGTGAAGAAAGAATTAAGTCGGACAAGACAACCTATAATTTTAAAACTGGTATTTTAAACGCGTAAAACGTTGAAAAAAATAATATCTGTCATGTCCATTTCGACTGTTACGAGCTGTCGTCCGAAGGGGTATTTATTTGTATTTATGGGAGGAGATTTCGAAAGCGATAATTACGAGTTTGGAAAAAAATCTATTAAAACCACTGCAATCGTATACATTATTTTATACTTACGGTGATAATAAAGAAAATACTATTTTTTATGTACCTTTATTATATATAGGTATATACATTACTACGCGCTCGCGAACGTAATTATCTGTATGTATATACATATTAAATAAATATAAGTATATATATTTTATAAGTGATGATTATTTATTTGTTCCAAATCAATACTATTAATTATAGTTACATAAAAATATATTTACAGTAATATTATGTATATAAGTACATATAGCTATTCATATTTTATATACGTTATCTCTACGGAAAAAATATATGAAAGGGTATCATCGACTAGACACGTATTGAATATCGATACTTATATTATATTAGCTGATAAAATCTAAAAACCTTTTATTTTCACGTGATTTTAATTGAAAAATATTTAAATCGAAACGATCGGCAAAGACTTTTTAGAGCGAAAAAAATCCGGTCACGTCATGACTTTGTATTGCCAGATGTCGTGTATTTCGTTGTATACTGAATACAAAATGTGCCATCACCCGTCATCAAATTTTATATGCACGTGCGTGAACAACACGCCGCTTATTATTCTACAACAAATAAGGCCAAATGTGTTTATTTTGTAATATTTTATCATAGAGAGCGTATAGAACACGAATATACCTATACTTTGCGTACGACCCGGCGACGATGTCCAAAGAGATACGCCGGCCGATACGCGCAATATTTCAAATCTACAAAAAGAATAAAAAATAATTGACCTCAACATATTTTTTTACATTGTATGTAGTGTTTCGTTCTCAAATACCTGCTAAAAATTCAAATAAAAACATATTGGAATTGTGTTCGTAAAACGAGAGAAAAAACGTGTATAAACCATATAGGTAGCATGCAGTACATGCACGTTATACCTATATACCATAGTTGTTAAAGAATAGAATAGAAACGTTCAACATTCCACATGAAACAATATATATAGAAACAACGTTCTAAGTAATATTGATTGAGAAAAATAATTCAACGAAAAATATTTAAATCATTATAAATAACGATGTAATTTAATATTTATCATTGTTATTATTATTACCTTTTGAACGTTTTAAGATTAACATTTTTCAAAATAATATACGTCAAAATTCCCTCTAGGCAGTTACAACAACCTCCGCCGAGTCAACCGCACTTAGATCTCCTCTCAGACTGCATGCAGGTAATCCTACAGCGGTGTCGACCTTCTATATATTTAAAAAAATATATTCCCATAAATCAATTTAGTATTTTTTGGTTACAAAAAAATATGTATACATACGCATTATGTGCGGTTAAATTTTTACAGCGAGACTCTGTCGATTTGAAACGAGTAAAATAATAATAATAATAATAACAAAAACGCTCCAAGCTGTCAGCCGACTAAAGAAAGTGTGTGTGTGTGTGTACTGTATATGTGTATAATGTAGTCAGATGATAGAAGTACTAAAATAATTTTAATAATAATATTATTGTTATCATTATCGTTATTATTATTATTATTATTATTATCATTATTATATTATTATTATATCCCAATGGTACAGTAATGCGCGCACGTTACAATGATTGACAGGTGTTTTATTTTTTAGAGAGAGGAACGAAGAGAAAGACGTGCGCGATACGTCCATGCGTCTCTCACACGCCAATCCACGCACAGAGTACAGAGTCAAGAGGTCAAACTTATACTACAGCTCGAGGAGACGATGAGGAGTGGAATAAGTTCTGACAACGTGCACACGCGAAATAGACGCCCTCGTGACGGCCATGATCACGACGAAGACGACGGAGACGACTATACGCGGTGATGATGATGTTGATCATTATAAAGATGACGGTGTAGTAAAGTTACGGGGCTGGAGCCGGCGCGCGGTGGTAATAAAAATAATAATGATAATAATAATAAGAAAAAGAAGAAACGAAAATAATAATAATAATAATACGAACTAAAATTCATTTTCTAAAACGAGTTCCATTATTTCTCCATGCGACGCATTACATATATTATTATACTATAGTTGTAGTGTATTTAATACGTACAAAGTGTGTATGGCCCTACAGTTTGCATACACGATGGTAATAATCATATACATGTCTACAGTGTGTGGTAGAAGAGTGCGGGACGTCGGTAAGACTAAATAACGTATACATAGTTCACACACTTATCGGACACACTGTATAATGTAAATGTACTATTTGTGTGTACAATATAATAAACGTTTAAAAAACAGTACATGTATAATATATTTTAATGTTTTCATTAAGAAGAATAGAGAACGCGACTGGTCACGAATTTTGGACATTTGAAAACTGTACTTGGCTATCGTCATCGTCTCTTCGTACGCTCCTCATAATACATATTTATTTTATTTTATTTTTTTTTTTTTTTTTGTCCGCATTCATAATAATATATTCTCTGTACAAAACGCTTATGGTATATGTATTATACACAATAAATTGTTATTCACAATATATCTAGTATAATAATATTATGAACGCATTGAAACGAAACTCGCGCGCGCGATACACAAGTCGCCAATTACGAGACGAAAGGCGATTTTTCGATTTTTCTTTTATTGTGCAACCAACAAAAGAGATAAGGTATAAGATAAAATAAAAATAAAAGATAGAAGGCAAGAAAAACACGGCCGCGGTATATTATAAATAGTAAGAAAAACTGTCTCCATTCTCTTTTGCGTATAAATATGTGTGTGGTGTGCCGTGTGCGTATAGCTGCAAAGTAAACTTCTTTAAAAATTACCATACAATAATCGCCGCTGCTGTCGTTGTCGTCGTAAACAGACTTTAACGAATAACATTATCTCACACACGGCGGTAATTACAACACTATATTATTATAAAACGTACCTACTTATATTATAGTATACCTATTATATTGTTCGCACGAGTGACACACTATACGCGACCATCGTGTATATGTTTTTACGTATAATTATTAATAATATAAAAAATGTTAGGTACATTGAAACCTTACAAACGTTGAATATACGCGTTTGCTTTTTACTTATTATATGCAAATATATTATGTACACGTATCGGCGATTTGTATACATGGATGTATTTTTAACTCGTTTAACGACCGTATACTACGATAATTTTAACAATTGTTTGATGAACATATTATTTTATACACTCGAAAAATCAATAGGTACTAAGTTTGAATGCGAAAATAAATTGTCAATTTTAATATTTTATTTCCGGCACTACATCATGCCAGTAAAATATATATAAGACACATTATTATATTATTAATATATTATGTCTTTTTGTTCACAGTTATATCAATGTGAAAATATTATTATATTATATATATAAATATTATCATCATTCATCGCTTTCGTTCCACACAATTTCTTCCTAATTCTTCCTATGGCCTACCGACAATAATCATAATATATCCGGTTTGTAAACTTATATTATTACTTACAAATATATCTTTGTTCGATTAGTGTCTATATTTAATACACAGGTCTCGGTATATATATATATATATATATATATGTATACCCATCTATGTATTATGTGTATACGCGTATTATATATGAAATTCGGCCAAAGCATTACTATAGTACCAACACCACGGATAACCACTGTCGCTGCTGAGTTAAATGAGCCATCACAGCAGACTTTATACATATATATACGCGTTTTCTTAAATTCTATAAAGAAATAAAAATAATTCGTCCATGGTGGTAATCATGGGAATTATGTGGGTATGTGTGTGTCTGTGTTATTTTTATTGTGTCCGTTGCCGGAAGACACCCACCTATTTACTATACAGCCACGACGACGACGTGATTTTCTCTATAGTTTTTCTCATCGCGTCGTGTCCTGTTTTGTCGTGGTAGAATAATCGCGGTATACACATACTTTAACAGCTTCCGGCGTTTTGAATACAATTTTTTCTTTCTGTTTTCATCACGATTGAGGTGGGGATATACATAGTAATGCGCGTATATTTCATATCGAAGACGATGCAAAAATAAATTATATGACGAAAATAATAAACAGCTTACACTGCAGCAGTTCGTTACTCGCAGAAAAATATCAAAATAAACGTTACACAATAGTGGAATTTGCAAAAATTTAACAATCATAACTTTTCTTGGATATATTATATTATTATGTGCTAATAAATTCTCGAGGAAACCTTATGTTACAAAGAGTTTCGTATTACTGCAAGAATACGGTAATAAGGTTTTTTTTATTAAAATCGACCGTTACTCTTATATTTTAAACATACGTAATATATGTTTAGAGTACAATTATTACTCCTCTAAAAAAAATCTTTGATCAACTGTTGATTTCAATTTTTTACGGTAATTTGTGAGGCTATATTATAAAGAAATTATATGATATTTTCTATCTTATTTTAGCCTATATATAGTTGAGTATTTTTGTTTTATTAATTCATAAAACTTTATAAAAAAATATATAGTATCATACTATAAATAAAAATATTTTTAATAAACTGTCAAGAAAGATAAGAAAATGAAGGTTTAATCTGAAAATTTAGTCCCTGTATAAAACTGAAACTGAAGTACTTTGTTTGGCCTATACTGACGTTAATAAGGGATATTAATGTTTTTTGTTTATGCCGCAGCCGGGAATCCACTAACACGATCTCCCAAATTCAATTACAGTTGATGGATTTTTGTTGTAGAACGCATATATTATTAATAGAAAAATATAACATCCAACTAAAAGTAAATGTATTTGGAAACAATATACAAGAAATGAAACAATTAGGTACCTATAAACCACACGAGAAAAAAAAATATATATAAGACAATAATTTAAGAAACTAATTTAAACTAGAAAATAAGTGTACACGCTAAGTCTATAGTACATTTATTATAAGATTTCTGTGATGCTGTTTAAATGAAGTATTTCACAAAACTTCTCGCTTTTCCTAGTATAAAGAAATTATATAAATTAATTTATTTCAAAAGGTTAACCACCCAAAATTGACAGTAATGATATTAATAATAATAACAACTACAACAACAATAATAATTCATAATTTGAGGAAAAATTATATTATGATAATTGGAATGGTTAACAAAACGATGATGATCGTTGCGTGATCGCGAGGTGTACAATTGCTCGGTCAGTTGTATCGTATCCTGTAATTACGTGCATCTCCTCATCATAATGCCGTAATGACATTAATCTTTTGACATGACGACTGCCAAGAGAGAAGGAAACATAGAGCAAAACGACCAACTCCCTGTTGATGGCAGCGATTCGACAAAAATACGTCACGCCATTTATTATGGAGGCGGTGATGGTGAAACCACCAATTACCATTACATGCGGTGATAATAGGTAGTGGTGTAGTGGTGTAATAACTGTAATTGTTTATTTTACAATCGTAATTTCGGGGTACAATGAAATGTGTCGTCGAAAAAAAGACTAGCTGGTAAGCTTGCGTCGTCTCCGCCCTTTATAACTACGTTAGATATATATTATATTGACATTATACCATTCCCCAAGCTAGAAAATATTACCACAATATTGTAGAATAAAGTATATAGTACACTTAATTATTGTTTATTGTATTTCGTTTATTGAAAACCTAATACGAATCTATAAATCGATATTTACAATTAGATTCTTTTAAATTTTATCAAACTATCAGAGTAAAATAGAAGAGAAAAAATAAAAAAGCATTCTTTGCCAGTTTGTTATATTATAATAACGGAAGTAAAATTAATTTGTGATTGCGCCCCGTCACCGCGCCGCCGTACGAGTATCGTGCGTATATCACAATTAAGACCAATCGTTATATAATCAAATATTAATTAAAAAAAAATCGTTATTAATAAAACCGAAACCGATCGTGATTATAGTAATTGAAATAGCCGTTTGCTAATGTTAACACAGCAACCCAAAACATGTCATCGTTTCTGTCTATCAAAGGTCCCCCCCGCTCATATAAATAATAAAAATTATTATTTATTATTATTTATTAGTAATAATATTGCGCTATATAATAATAATATACATCATCGATAAGCGATCTCACGAGTTTTTCCACTTGTAAACAATACTGTGTAGACGTCGTGATATTATATTACTATCCAATGGTTTTTGTCACGCGACTTGGTCACACGGAAAAAAGTCAATACTGTTTTCAGAAATTCCGAAATAATGTTATATTATATTACTATTGTTCCTTTTGAACAAACCTTTTACTCGAGACAACGGTCTAATTATTATATTGGTTCAATTCATCACGTGTACTTACTCGTATATTTTTATTTTTATAGGTGTTGTACAATATTTTTATTGAGTTAACTAGCTGCAATATAGGTATATTGGTGAGAGACTGTATAGTATATATTATGTCGCTACTGTTGGTGTTACGAGAAAAAAAGTATACAGAAAAAGATGGTATCAACGCCTAATAATTATGATTATAATATATTCATTTCAAAATTAATTAAAATTTAATTATCGACAGTGAGTATCATGTAAAAATATGATGATTAAGCAGCGACGATGCGTTATTTTTCCGGTTATAGTGGGCGTATTCTCTCGATAATATTTCTACCTGCGTGGTTTTTAATATTGTTGGTGAAAAAAGAACTGCTATAGGTACGTCTAGGATGCGTCCGCTTTTTTAATGTTATGTTTTATAATGGATTCGTCGTATATACACTACATAATACGAATTAAAATAATCAATGTTTCTGTATTAAATATTCAAAAAAATTCGTTCTTTTATTTAAAAAAATATTTGAATAGCATCTACACAATATCATTAAAAAATATAACGAAACCAATTGGAAGTATGAAGGATAAAAAGATAATCGTTATTATTTTTGATATACTGAATAATAATACTTCGATAAATTACCCTACGCTCGCTTAAACGTGCATTTTTCATAAGACAAAATAGAAAAAAGGCGAAAAAACGAATAACAATCTCACAGAACACATTCGTTCGAGTAACGAAAACGTAGAAATATTTCACCTCGATAAGTTTTTTTTTACTTTTTAATATTTGCCGCGTGTAGACTTTAATTTCAGCTCACGACAATCCCCTTGCCCCGGGGAAATATAATGGTATACATAATATAGACTACTACCACGTAAATGGGTCTTTTTTTTTCCTTTCCATCATCCCTTCTCTAACGTCTTCACACACTTACATACACACAATATTATTGTACATCACATGCATATATATATATATATATATATATATAAACAATATACATATAAAACACATATACACTATATACATATAATATACAATATGTATATATATATATATATACATAAGACTACGGTGCAACGGCGGTCACGAAAACATATAATTCGATAAGTGAAAATATCGACTGGCCCCTGCTCTACTACCACCTCTAACACCGCTGCCCCGGCAAAAGCACTTAGAAAAAGAACAATGAAAAAACATAATCCAATCCATTCGCTTAATAAATTAAAGGGCGCTGACGGTGTTTTTTTTATACTTATAAAAGCCTATACAACGTTGTTTTGGGCGTAATTCGTTTGGATCCATTAATATTATTGTATTCTCTAAAAATATATTATATACATAAATATAAGTAAAATCTATGACACGAAAAATAATTTGTTTTATAAATATTACAGCTTTGATGATTTAAAACAAATCTAAATACGTTTAAAAAATTAACAATGTTAACTTTAAACAATAATTTACTATTATTTAACTCTATGTAAAAAAATAAAAATATAATAAAATTAATTGTTTTATATGTATATATTATACATGTATGTTTATTTTTTTAATAGAATGTATAAAGTCGAGAATAAATTTAATGTGTAGGTAGGTACATCATAATACGTTTAGGCACATCAAATCAAGTACCTAGGTCATAAAAAAAATTACAAACGATTTAAAAACGTCAATTCGTCGAGATAAATAAGCTATAAAACCAGATTGGTCAATAACGATAAACGACAAATACTATACAGAAAGAAAGTTGTGCGCGTATATGACGAGTATTGCAATCAATTTAAGGGCGTGCGAGCAATCCCACTGCAGGAAAAAATAAACCGAAAAAGGGGACTGCCGCACAAGTTGATTGACTTAAACGCAGCTTTGTTCTTTTAACCACGGAACACACAGCGTGTAGTCGAAACGCGGAAAACCACACATTACGTGTATACCTATACGGATAGTACACGCAAAGGTATATAAAATGAATGCATGTGGATTTTTTTCTGTATTTTATTCAACGGGTGAGGTAAAGAAAAAAAAATGCAAAACCGTACTGTTTACGAGAGAAGGAGGAAACGTGACTTGAACAGTCAAGAAGGATTTAATGGAACTTTTCCATTGCGCCGTCGACGATAAAACCCTTGGCTATATTATAAGCACAATATATATATATATATATATGTATATGTATATTTATATATAATGACGATGATGGTGCGCGCGTGCAGCAGAAGACTCGGGCAAATATTCATTTTTCGATCGGAAAAAAAAATCCCAAAATGTATTATGTTATTTGAATATAGATGATGTAATAAAAACATGGTCAGCTATTTTTTGAAGTATCGGACATAAGACGAAGAAAAGTGCGTCGTTTACTTACCACGAAATGCATTATTACTGTAAAAGTGTTTGTAGACTTTACTTGTACACTTACCCAATTCTGAAAACAAAAAAATCTTATTAGTACATTTGTTTTGGATATACGCGGTATTTTTTTTAATCATTAATAAATTATTCGAAAGTAATCAATTTTAATTATTAAAAAAAAAAAAAATAAGAAATAATTTTCGTTTTTTCCCTCTAAAGTAGCACTAGCAGTAAGTATATATATATATATATATATATATATATTATGAGATCTACAATACTATATGTACAGTGTAAGTAGTTGAAATGTAGGCGTGGTTATGGCCATGACGTAAGATAACAATCGCACTTGTTTCCACCATAGGACCACCGCGTTTTGTTCTATGTCTATATAATGATGGGCGTTGTTGTTTAACGCTATAGGTACAACATAATTATTACCGTTATATTTTTGTATATATAGTCGATATTCGTATGCATTTGTGTTGTCGGCTGCATTATACATAAATCGTCACCACGTACGGCAATATGAATATAAGCCATAACGACAACAACCACAATCGAAACTCGAATCCTACGTAAGTACCTACTCGGGCTAAACACACGCGCATATATAAGTATAAACTTGAAATCGACAAGTGTACATATGTATCTCGAAAGATATGTAACAACAATTTGACCCTTGCACCGCTTCGGACGGTTATATTGAGCGACGAGAAGAGCGCCTGTCAACGTCGGAATATCGACATGCCAGTACCGCCGTACAGGCCGTTTTTATTGACCGTTTCACCGCGGTGCGACGTTTAGGAGGAAACTCTTAGTCGAAAAGGTCAAAAAAACCGAAGGAAAAATATATATATGTGGCGACTCAATAACATACAGTCGACGGCTAAAGGAATGTTGTCAGATCCAGATGTTATTTCAGTTGGCGTACAGAGCACTGTGCTGTGCCGTGCTGTTACAGTATCCCGCCGCGTTTTCTAAATCCCATAGGTTATACTTTCGTTTTCTCGATGTTGCATGTTTCCTCTCCACTTCTTATATTCTCTTTCTGGCGATGAGTTGATGGGTCATGTAGATAACGTTTGGTTTAACAATTATTATCATCATTCCATCGACTGTTGTACGACTCTACACACACTCACACACATATATATATATATATACATTTTATATTTATAATGTATAATGTAAAATGTATATTGTATATATATTATATATATATAGATACATATATAATTTATATAAAAGGAATGCAACAATGTTCGAGTCTGGTTAAAAAGAATTTCTCCCACATTTTACAAAACAAATCAAATAAAATAATAAACTAAACGAAAAGATATGTTTTGTCTCATACACGGAATGAAGAAATTGTGGAATAACAAAGACAACGGGACCTCTCAATAAAAATCGTTCTCCTATATATAGAAAACCAAGTTCTGCATACTCGTCCGACACCTTATAATAAAGCCAATGTGTGTGTGTGTGTGTGTGTGTGTATAATATTTGTAAAACCAGTTTACAAGTCTCATGTTCGTTGTTGTCGTCGTATAGTCGTCTTATAATATATATTTATATTTATATATATATATAAGTTACGAATACGTTCACATTTATATTCAACTGTTTGCATATTATATATATATATATATTATATTTATGTGTGTATGTGTGTGTGTATGAGAGTATGCGTAAAAATATATATATAACTGCGATTTTTTTCTACTTCTCCATCGTCTTCTTTAAGTAGATAAATGTGTGAGTGTGTGTGTAATGTGTATATTTAATTCTACCGTGCACATATTAAATATTATACTGTAATATCGTTGATGTCTTCTGTTTGGGAGTTTTTGGAAAATGCCACCTGTTATGCGCGTATGTATTATGATAGTCATAGGTGTTATGTAGAAAAATTTGCCAAATTTCTAAACTTAATAATAAAGTAATATTTTAAATGTTCAATATGTGAACATAATATAAAAAATGCAAACAACCGTTACTCCACTATACAAATTATACTACTTTCTTACTCACCCCACCCCCTCTCTCATACACATATACTACATATTATTATATATTTATTTATACATATTTTTCTTAGATAAAGTTATGGGAGAGGGCACAGAAAAATTAAAAACATTGTACAACAAACGCGATTATTCGACGCGGGCTAGCCCTCCACTATACAACCGGTTCTGCGATATAATTTATTTCAAAAAATTAATTCGTTTCGTTTTTTTTTTTTTATACTTCTTATCCATGTATATATTTTTTTCCCTGTTCATTCCATGTGATATTATGTTTTTAAAACGTCGTTCCCCAGACGTCTACAAAACGACAGGTGTTCCCTCCTAATACACACACACACTTATGCACACGCACACGTATACATACACACACATACATATATATATATATACATACGTACAACACACGTCATCAGACACAATGGGTCTCGCGTATAGTAGTTATGTTAATGTGTGTCCAATGATAAATCGGATTTTAATATATTCTTGGATTTGCTGTTGTTCAAGAATGTCAAACGAACGCCCGATGTTTCCCATAGGATATTTTTATTTAAACTCAAAATTAAAAGTATTTTTTTAACTAAACTTGATATTATAAGACTAATATTATAACAACGATAATGTCGAAAACTGATTTAATACACCTTTCATATTTAATGTTTATTTATCATTTCAAACTAATAGTTTTCATTCGAGATAGATTTTATAAATATAGATAGATACCCTATTCCCGATTCCACTTTATACACGAATACGCATCAATACAAATTCGAGTTATTATTATGAGATGCGGTAATATAAGTATTTACTATGCCGTACTTACAAACACACGTGGTCAATTTATTAATCCTTACAACATAACGAGCCCGAGTTTAAAGTAAAACAAATAAAATTCAAGGTCGAGACATTAAGTGTAAAATTATTATAACTTTATAGAACACCCATGAATCGAATGAATAAATTTTAGTATTTTTTACTCATTTAATTTATAACAATAAATATACGATCTAGAGTACGTTATTAGATAATTATTATTCTTGAAATGTTATACTCTTCCCTTTTGTGTATACGAAATATAAGCTAATGTAATTTATAAGCCACTATATCATATTTCAGTATCTCATAATACCCGGCACGAGGCTCAATTTTTAATTTAACTGTAGTATAGATCATTGCCATTCGTATTTAATGAAAAAAAAAAAAAGTCGTCGTCTATAATTATAATATATTACATACAACTAGTGCATATATAAAAAATAAAATGTCTTTTTATTTTCCAATCATATATATATAATATTTTTTCACATATAATGTTTTATTATTTTTATCGTCATTATTATTGATATAAATATAATAATACGCAAGATTTTTAATATTCTACGGTTTAACGCGGTTTTCCTCCGAAGAATGCATGAAATGACCAACATGTGTGTAACATTGTATACGTACCACACGTTATAAAATATATATACCTACAGTATAATATAATATTCTATACCTCAATATATATGTGTATACACGTATACACATCATGTACACGATTTTTTTCTATTATCTAGGACTTTTTTTTCATTCTTATTATTATGATTCCTGTTTTTTTTTTTTTATAGAAATTTAACAGCTATTTTTTTATTTATTTTTTTTTTTTGTTATTATTATTTTTTGCTCATTGCTTTCCCTCATATGTGTGCGTGCGCGCCCGAACGCGTGAGGATATCTAAAGACGAAACTGGCGCGATTGCGTTTTTATGTGGACTACGAACCAAACCTGTCGCGTAACGAATTATTATTATACTTTGAATATATATAAATGTATATTGTATATAAACACATACACACATACGCGCGCGAGCATATACATAAAATAGTTTCTATATCATAAACGCGTATAACACGTCGTTGTTAACGTCGATATCAATTTTATTATTTTTGCGAAAATATTTACCGTTTTTTATAAACGACGAGTATTATACACCTAAATCGACATATATTATACATATAATTTTCTCTATTCTCTACTTAAGTCTTAAGCTGCATACGCAAGTCTTATTTAAAATTATTTTTACACAGTATAGCATACTATATTCTATAGTCCATTATATTTTAATACATTCGTATTTTATATTGTAGTTTTGTTCCACTGATGATAACGGATTAAAAAAACCGAATTGCATTACATTAGGTCGTTACAATTTAAGAAATACTCTTATAAAAACCTAACTTAACCTAATGGTAATTTAATAATTAATAGTATATTGTCTATAAGCTGACGATTACAATTGTGTAGATAATTGTATTCAATACAAACTACTTCAATTGATATACGTATAACAACAGTTGCCTGCAAAACAAATAATATTTATCGGTATACCCTAACTTCATTTAACGACGACGCGCGACGAGAGCATTTAACATGTAATGCAATGATAGTTTTAATAAAAATAAACACCGTGATGAAGGGGAAGATGGCATTACAACCGTTTACTATTGTGTATATTATATAGTCCCAAAATTCGTGTTGTTGATGGCAACCACGATTATGTAAATTCTATACTCAAAAAGAATGAAAGAAAATAATACAGCTGTAATTTACTACGCAGGCTATGCACACAACGCGTAGGTACATAATAATATAATAAATGAAGGGAGAGTAACAAAAATTGATATCGTTCAAATCGAATAATAAAGAAATAAAGATTTATAAATATTATTATATATCATATTTAAACGTATAAAACTTTTGTGCAATAAATTCAAAGGAAAAAATAAAAAATATAACAAAATGATTACTAGCAATAAGTCAAATGTTCGAAGTGAAATTAAAACTCAATAAAATTGAACATATTATAGCGTTTAATTAAAATCTGTGTCGAAAACTTTAAAACAATGTAGTCGGTGACGATGGTAGCGACGGCTCTGAGCATATACAATTATTAAATAGCGTTTCAATTTATGAATAATAATTTTAACGTTCACTACCAGGGTTAACGAATATAATCCCCAAAGAGCACACCCGTAAGATTATAGTTTGTCGCGCGCACGCTGAATTCTAAAAAGGCGGTGGTGAATGTTGCCACCCTTTGCCTCCCGAGATACACCACTGCGGCGATCAAATTTATAAGTGAATCGTTTTTACGACGTTTTTCCGACAACGACCCTGTCGTATGTATAGTAGTCGCATAAATATTATTACCATTATTGTTTGTTATTATTATATTTTAAAAGAAGTAGACGACGTGACTTTTTTTAAAGTACCCCACTGATCTACACCAGGATCAGCATCAACTACAGCCACCGTCGCTTATTCCTACCTGCCTACCTGGGTGGTTTATTTACACTTATTTTTTAAACATAGGTATATACCTCTACATATATGGATGATAGATATAATATAATATAATATATATTTTCCCCGAACCAACGGTTTAATCGGTCGGCTATGTGCCCATGTGCGTCCCGCTGTTTCGTGTTATTGGAGCCCCCCATCGAGTTTGGCAACGAACACCACCGGCCCCGGTACCGACGTGCACCGCATCATGTATCTATATGCCATCATGCAGAGAGAGAAAGAGAGAAAGAGAGGCCAACAGCGCCGCATTTATTATTATTATTATTATTATTATTATTATTATTATAATACTCTGTGGCGCACGACCCGTGCATTTTTATACGTCACTAAATACTTTGTGTCGGACACACAACGAAGATGACTGCTGGTTATTTCTATATAATGTAATTGTTGTGGTAGGAAAAAAAATTTTTTCAGAATTTCTTCTTCACATCGACCCAAACGATCGCGTTCGTTGTGTTGGAGATGGTAGTACAAAAAGAACTATAGAGGAACGTTCGTTGTTTGTATGTGCATGTGCGTGCGTATGAGTTGTGAACATCGCGCTCACACACAAAAACCTTTTTGTCCCCTATATAGTCGTTGTTCGGCATACAGTTCTTTTTTGGTGCAAGACCGTTTGAAAAGTAATTCGACCAAAAAATAAATTCTTTGGCCAAACAACGGTACCACCTTTTTTATCGTTTATTTTCTCCCCTCGACATTTGATACGTCTAAAAATTACATTTATAACGCAAGGGATGCATTTCACGTGATTCAAATATTATTATATTTTTCATTAGGTCTATCATTATTATTACTGATTCATTCCTATTTAATTTTTTTTATCAAAGCAGAATAAACCAAGAAACGGCGAAGAAATAAAATTATTAATTTTATTTAAACTAATAATAATCAGAAACAATAGGCGGTAGATTATCTCACAGCCAGCCAGCTGTGCTCACGACAAGCTTATACACACACACATACGCACGCACAAGTCAGCCACACAACAAAAATGGCCGCGTCGCCTCGGGGTCATTCCACAAACACATACACACACAAAAACACACATACACAAAATAGTCGTAGCTGCTGCATCATCATTTAAGCGCCCATCATCATCATCACGATTGTGTTTAAGGATATCATATATATACATATAACACTAACCAAAGAGCAGTTATTATTATTGTTGAATAATATTCTGCATGAAAAGATTGAAATTCCAAAGTAAAGCTTACACATGTACAATCAATGTATAATATGTATAGAACATACAAACAATAAATAAACCAAACAAAAAGATCTTGTTTTTTAATTTTTTAAATTAAGATTTGTTACACATAATAAAATGATAAAAATTTAATAGCCAATTCAAATTCTGGAATGAAAAATAATGATAAAATATTTTTCTTATTAAAAAATAACATAATAGGTAGATATTTGTTTTATTTATGGTCGTATTTTAACAGAATCATCCATAAAAAAAATAATGACGATAATTATCTTTATTTTTAGATTAACGTTTTGTTTACATGCATCATTTTGGTTTGACAAAAACAACGATGATAAAATGAAGAACAATGAAAAGAAAAAGGGGTAAAACTTTAAGTGCTTAAAATAAAAAGCACCATTTGAATCCTTTTGTTTACATTATTATAATAGGTATAAGAAAAATAAAATAAGAACTTGTTTAGTACAAACTGGTGTATAATGAATTTATTGACGAATTTTGATATGATAAAACGAATATTGTCACATTATCATAATAAGTACCTAAACCATATTTTACTAGTGATTTTTAATATAAACCTTAGAAAAAAATAAGGAAAAGCACTGAAATAGTATTATAGTCATATAATGGCATTAAATAATGTATTATATTAAAAATGTGCAGAGGTAGGTATACAAAATAATAACAAAAGGCAAGACATTTTTGTCGAAAGGTAAGCAAGCAACTCTACCTCTATACCTATACCTTCGCCTTATGTTTGTGTATACTTATATATGTCGTATATGCAGCAGTATCCGTGTGTGAGTGTGTTTGTTATATGTTCGTCTCTTTCTAATGAATACACGTCATAACAATAGGGTCTCCTGCACTAGGTAAAAATGTTCTTTTCATACAATATAATATAATAGTGGAGCCATTGCATTGTCAGATAGCCTTATATATCATTAAGAATAATATAATATAATATTCAAACCGGTAGGTACAATATAATATATAGAGTTCCATTTAGAGAAATGTAGTTTTTATACTTTTCAATGTGGAAATATTTTTTAAATTTAATAATATACAATACTTATAAAAACATATATTTATATAAAATAATAGAATGTGTTTAAAAATATTATATTGCAACATCGATCTATCTACTCATTCACATTATCGTTTAATATTTGTTTTAATGTTGTGTTATAAAGGTTTTCATCTTAAAATATATTATAATCAGTATAAAGAATAAAAGGTGTCATATCCCCGCTGTTTTTCATTCTGAAATCGCATCCCAAGGGGAACATTTGACGGCAAGGAAAGATGTTGATAGAGGAGGAATAAAACGACAATAATAAAACGAAAAAAAACGGAAGGCCGACGAAATAAGCTCAAGCGAAACATTATTTTTCCCCTTTAGAAAGCAAAAAATGTGTGATAAGACTTAGTGACTTTAGGGGGAGGTGAAAGTAATTAGATCACAAATTTCAAGAAAAACGTGGTGGTTATTTTCCACTCACCCATCCTTGATCTCACGTGGCCAGGCTACCACCACCGTCGTTGCCGCCTAGTATTCTTATTTAATCCCACGGGAGACAAGTGACAGGGGTGGCTGCGTACTAAAAATACTTATCAGTAAATAAAGAAAAAAAGGCCAACATCATACTACTGCTATTGCGAATATCATTATTTTTTTTTTTTTATGTTATTACTGTATATTTTTTTGCAACAAAAGTAGTAATAACTTATAAGCATTAAAAATATGAAACTTTAACAAACCAAATTCATCGAAAAAAATTACAATTGAACCAGAGACATATATTATGTATGTTTTTATTGACGCAAATAGTGTAAAGAAATAACTAATGTTATACATCGAGCACTTAACTGCAAAGCTACAAAACTACAAAAAATAGCAACAATTTCCATTGTTACACTACCACTATATCGTATGCATAAAAGTACACAACATTTTAAATCGGAAAAAGAAGGAAAAAATTTGTAATGTTAAAGTTTATCACGATAAAATTGTTTTTCAGTATTACACCAAGTTCTATATACGATGAAGACAAAAGTTGAAATTATGAAGGCGTCACTCCTGCTACTTCCATCGTCGCCATAAACTGGCGGCAATACTAGTATTAAGACAGTAACCTAACTGCAAAGCGAGCAAAGAGAAAACCTTTTAAGAAGATGGGAAAGTTTGTTTTCCCACTGCGGCGTCTAAAAGTTTCCACCGCCTTCCTCCTTTTCTACCAATATCAAGCAGCAACATGTGAAATACTCTCAAAACCACCCCTTGTCGCTGTTAAAAACAGCCACTAAGATGAGTTTAAGTTAAACCTTTAATATTACATCGAAATTATTTTACGCTTTTCTGCTTTTAGGTAGACAGTAGTACTGGAATTGTTAGTATTTTAACGGTGATGTGTCGGAACGTATTAAACGGCTGAATGCTCAACTTCTTAACATAAAACAAAATTTATTTAAATACCAAACAATATTATACGATTGCTATTTTAATTTATTGTTTATCTTTTCGAAATTTAATGTCTTAAGTACAAATATTTTTTTTTTAATTAAAAACATAAATTTTTTAATACATTATTTATTTTTATATAGTATAACAAAAACAATCCGTTTAGTGTATTATATTTCTTATTTTCAAGATTAATGTTATGAAAAATTAAAAATATAATTTAGAAGTATATCTAATCACTAAAAATGATTGCGCATGAATTAAATAATTATTATTTATAGATTTATATTAATATTTTATAAATAAATTGACATATGTAATTCGTAATTTTTTTTTTTTACAAAATGATGTAAATTAAAAATAATATTTTATTTGAATAAAATTATACTTAAAATATTTAGTCTATAAATTCTATATTTCAAAACATAGTTATAAGTGTTATGACTTATTAGCGATATCATATCTTCTAATTAATTCGCTTAGCATATATATTGTAATATTACTATCTTTTAATATCTCAATATCATCATAATAAATTACAGAAACAACATTGTAATGACGGCCGACATAAAAATAACATCAATGTCTAAGACTTAATCGTTGACGATTATCGAAATAAACAGTAATAATAGTATATGATAATATTCTGGCTGTAGGGATTGTCCCCATCCATATAATAACAACAAGGACACACGCAGGACAAACACTCAAGATGATGGCACTTGAATAACGTATGTGTCCAGGCTCAAGTGACATACACGCGTAGGTAAACATGTTACTATACAATAACGTTTCGTAGGGGTTCAAAAACTCCCTAGATACGGGACGAGAACAACGATGCAGTGGCGCCTCGAATGTTATTTGTATTTCTGTTAAGTGATATTTCTAACCATAGAAAAAAAAAATACAAATTAAGTGTTCGTCACTTACCAGGATCGCCATGGTCAAGACTTTGTTGCGAGCCCGGTTGTTGCGACATCGGTCCAGGTGTGCCTCCCGAACCAGGAGATCGGTCATCGTTCCCGTGTCCACCATACGATAATGAAGACGAAGGTGGTCTCTGAAATAAATTAATCAATGTATGAATTAAAAAATGTGTCGTAATATTACGTGTGTGAGTTCACTAAAAAGTATAAATAATCAATAGATATACGAGACAAATTTTAACCGTGTAATGGAGTAATATGTTTTTCAAGGAAGAAAACCACTAACAAATGTATACAAAAACCGCCACCGTTGCAATATAATATTTAGTTTCACGGTTTCCCATGGGATCAAATACGACGATCTTTCCTTCTTCCTATACTTTTACTACTTAATCGTATGATAGTACTACTACTGCTGCAACTGCCGCCCCAAATGTAACCTTTTTCTGCTTCCCTTACTACATTTCGTAATGTTTTCTCATCGTTGCAGGGAATACCATCCTCTAAGGGATAATATTCTCCTACCCTCTCTTACAAACGCACGATGTCCTAGTGACCCTAAAATGTCAATAATTCTTCATATATATATATATATATATATATATTCTTTATTATTATTATTTGATTAAATATTAACAACCGTTACTGTCACTATGATATAAGACTATAGTAAATTATAAGATAAACCAAATTATAACTAACTTCCTCTTTCCTCTTAAACCAAAAAAATAATAAAAGTATAATGTACATAGTAATTGTATTTAAATTATAATAAATAATTTTTTTTTTTTACTGTATACATTGTAACATAATTTATTATCTTATCGCAGTTAAATATTTGTTATTATATGTATGAGTGTTTATTGTTGACTAACGACTGACTACTATATAAATGAAATGTTGGGGAAAAGGTATTATAACACCCAAAGCAATCGTCGTAAAATAAATAATGATTTTTTTTTATTATTATTTACCGAGTACACAGATAAAACAAAAATCCATCCATATACCTCGCTACTGCTATTATATAGGGATATCCTTTTTTACTTTTTACATTTTTTTATATGTTATTTTTTGATAACTCAGTATGACGACAACATATTTATATAATTTAGTTTTTCTATACGGATTATACTCGTATGTTTAATCAGTACCTACGTAGATACAGCTACATATTTCAAGAAAAATGATATGAAATCCGGTTTTCTTCAGTTAGTACTTTTAAGTAACATATTATAATGGATTTTGCGTGTACTCGTGATCTGTGTCGTTATATAGGTACATCAGATTACGTGGGTGTGAATGAAAAAAAAATAACAGCTAGTTTCAACGATTATTATTAACTTAAACAATACTATCACTTTTACATGAACCGAGTCAATTACTTCATTAATATAGTCATTATATATAATAAAGGTATATGTGTAAAGAATACAGTTTCAATATTATTTATCAATAACCATCGGTTATAGATATTAATAATAATTATTATGATTTTAGCATCTATTATACGCATATTAGACATTGTTAAACTTCAGGAGATGTCATTATTACGATTATTGTTATCATATAAAATTATATTATCATCTTACACTGTTTATTTTGTAATTATCACAAATCGATTTCGCGTGCTTGCTGAAACCAGCGCCGCCCCGAGGCGTATAAATCTGTCTAATTATACACTCTTTTTATTAAATAATATTGTTATACCTGTACATACACATCATTACAACCGATCTTCGTAGGCCTACAGTGGTTAAATTCCATCGGTATATGCGCCTGCAGTATATATAATTATGTATTTATATTATACATCATGATAGCAATTCAAGTGAATAGAAATGACGACGATTGCGTGTTCTTCTTGGCACTTTGTGGTATGACGTGAAGTAACGACTGTGAATGAGGCAAAGAGGAGGGATAAGGATATACCGTAAAGACGGAAACAGCAATGTGCACACATGTCGATAGATTTTTAACACGCGGGGTGTTCAGCACACCCACGAACCGTAGTAATTTCTTGTAACGCCGACTATGTGTTTCCGTTACATTCCGCCAAATATATACATGTTTTATTTTTTCAGAAATAACGAGAACCATACATATACTTTTCTTACTTTACTTTCTCACTCTCTTTCAACCTTTCTCTCTCTCTCTCTCTCTCACACACACACACACACACACACACACACACATATACACTCACAATCACACTCACATATGTCATATACAAGTAGTTCACCGGACATTTTAAAGGGTTAAATTATATGAATTCCCAGGTGTGTATTTACTTCCGGTATATTTTAAGTATTATTATGTAGAAAGAATGAATTTGCCATAACTGCCACTAGCGTACCAACAACGAGAATTTTTTTTATTTTTTCATTTTATATAGGACATGGCGGCAGAGGATTGTGAAAAACGAAAGGGTCTATCCCGTACCAACAGTGTAAACTCTGTTTCCGGTCTTTTCATAAACCCTCCCACACATGCGCGCTCTAGGCAAATAATATGATATATTAAAAAGAAAAAACCCGCGATTATATTATTTTCGATTGATGACGGGAACTGTAAAAACGTATTTCATTTTATACATACTACATATATGCTATTGTCTTTGTGCAAGTTGTCGGTTCACTGAGACCATTGTTAGTTTTTTTTCGTATCCATATTTTTTTATTTTTATTATTATTCCATAAACCACTTTTGTCTGAGCAAGACTAACTACTACAGACATTTTATTATAATTTATAATGTATGAAATTCGTATTTTATAAGGAGACAACCGGTTTAAAATAAGCAACGGCCCAGATCAATAAACAGCATTTAAATGTTTAATTGAATTTCCTTTACTTTATTATAGTATACTTCAATGCTAATATCAATATGCAAATTACGGACGGAGTTTAAATTTATAAGTACAATGTATGGTCATATTGTGTTTGCATTAAAGCTTTGCGGCTATGTATGTATAAGTTTCTTTGCTATTGCTTTCATTTCCATAAATGGCAATAATTAGTATTTACAAAGAGCTCTAAGTAAATTGCGTTAAAGCTTAAATTATACAAAAATATACTGGTTCATAAATTTTCTAAATTGTCCGGTGTCATTGAAGGAATTATTGTCCCGATTCTATTATTACGTGAACTGTTGAGTGTTCAAGGCGAAACGAACTAAACGCCATTTTCAATACTTTTTAGGAAACAGTAATATAAAAAAAATTGTGATAGTTCATAATCGAATAGCGCCGCAGTCGTGTACCACTAAATTAGCCACTCACGGTGTGTTGGAAAGAGAAAAATGTCAGTTATTTTTTAATATCCATCGCGTTGCATGGATTCTAAAAGTCGCTCAGCTCCTAACCTAACCAATCACGGTTCTATAGCCTCGAAACAACCGTAATATTCTATCGAGGTTATTCATACTCGAGCGCACAGAACAATTATTTATGTTTTATCACTTTTATTTTATTTCGTTTTCTATTTTATTTCAATTGTAGAATCACCTATATATGTTTTGTATAACAACACCATCCTGGTATTATCAACTAATACTATACACAGAAATTACAAAATATAAATGTGTCTACGTATTGTATAGATAGGCATGTCTTATCAAAATTACTGGGATGAAAAAATAATAAAAACGGCGAGAGTTATAGAACACAATCATGTTTCACTCATTTTTTACCCTGTTTTATCCTTCGTATCTGTACACTTTGACAACTCAATTCTACCGCACACATACATAGGTCTCACGGGTATTGAAACTGTTACTTATGAAAATTTTATGAGTTCGGTGGTCTACTGTGCACCGTTCGCTTCTAACTAGACATATCTCCATCGTGATCCGTAGTTGCAGTATACATTTTTCATGGTCGTTCGGTATTCTGTTTTTTACACAACGACGGGCGTTTGCTCTTGCCAAATTAATGATTGACACTCGACGCGTTGTGTATACGTATAATATAATATGTACAAAACCGCTATCGTGTCTTCTTTTCTTTTTTCCGATTTCTTTTTCAGCTAGAGCTTTTCTATATCTATCTTTCGAGCCAAATATATGAATTATTTAATGCCCGCAGTAGTAAAATTCACCCAGTTCGTGAAGCGTAATCGAAACAGAGAGCTGAAAGGGTGCTGCCTAATAGTTTGATAAACACGTCATGTACTCGCCACGCAACTCTATGTTGTTGGTTTTTTTTCTTTCCTGTTTCCAACCCTGCCGTCTTTCACTATTTATACTCCGTGATGCACCGGGATTTGACTAAATAAATTATAATATTGTCTACACGTGTTTTCTTCTTTTAATATCGTTGAATAAACAACACATTATGCTCCCGATAGTGATAACACAGATTTTCTACTAAATAATAATATATAGTATACTCCAAAGAGATTTAATAAAAAAATAAACACTAAATATATTCTTTAATAGCATATTATTGAAAATAAATAGTGTAGCGTAACTTAAATTTAGGTATACCTTAGTAATTTCTGTTTTGTTTGCAAGGAATGAATAATAATAATCACGACTAACCTAAATATTATACCAAGTGAAATATAATATCACGCGCGGTGTCATAAACAACGGGGAAAAAATAATAATAATAATAAATAAAAATCCTCGATAAACGCTAGTATAATATTATATATATAAACAGAAGTTATATAGTCGGTATGGGCGGAGGGTTGGCCGGCCGACCGGCGCGTGTCCACCGTCACCGCTGTCAGACGCAGAGCACAGGCAGACACGTCCGTTGCAGACGCGCAGCAGCTACGGCAGAAATAAATAATAATACAAATAATTCTTTGGCTACACACGCGCGCGTGCCACGTACATGCTTACTTCCTGCCTCCCCGCGAGAGTAATGTTTTCCCACACACGCGCTCGCACAAACACACACAAATGTACGCGTATCGTGTGTGGAGTGAAAAAAAGCACGACTCACATATAATAACGCCAATGCAATGTAATTTTGAAGCGGCCAATATATGATATATATTATATATGCACAAAACAAAACGCGTCAGTTTCGGTGGTCCAAAGCGTGCAGGGTGGGATTTTTCTCGTTTTTTTTTTCCTGTATATTGTTTTGTTTCGCCATCACGTGTCTGCGTGTGTGCCAATAACG